ATCGGAAAAGAAGGATTTTCCATTACACTCTGTAACCGAGGAAACTGGAAGATTCTCTAATAAGATAGCATAGAGATAGCAGTCAGCTGATAATTTTATCGCAACGGAACAGCAAAAAAATAGGACTTCAGTTTTTGAAAATGTGAACGGAAAATAATACATATAAATAATTTAGCATAAAGGTGAACACATACACAAACAAATTCGTGTTGGTGTGAGTCAAGTCTGCTCGGCCACCGGAAAGTGATGCTCTCTAGTGTAGCAAACGAGGAACAATAATCCTCAGTTGAATGAGGGAACGGAAATGTTCAACGGAGGAAAACTGTAACCCGCGAAAATTCAACTTTTAGACCTTGAAATCAATGGGATTTTGGCCGTTCCTCCGACGGCAACGAGAACCATCTATTTGTCGCCACCAACGAACTACACCTCTAGAATGGCCGACCAGTGTTAGAGACCCGGAACGTTTTGAAGTTGATATAGGTTAGGTTTACTTGGGCTCACACAGCAGGCTGCCATCTAAACCCATGTCAGACGCTGCCCACATTTTGCCGAATATTGTTGAATAAAGTGATAGCAATGAAAAGATTGCATAATAATCGCACCTCCAAAGGTTTTCTTAATTCAAAAAATAGGAACTTTGAAACCAAACCTCAAAAAAAATGAAAGTTTACATAGGTTGAAATTTTCACATGTAATCCTTATGGGCAAGACGCAGCAGAAATGGAGATTGAGGTTAGCTATACTTGGGCTCCCACCCCCCTCCTGCCTTCAAAAACCGGCCCTTGCGCGTACCGCAGGTTTGCTATCTCGCGGCCATTCTGTCGCCACGGACACTACCAATGCTAAAAGAAATCGATCGCAAAGAGCTCTCCCGAGTGGGCGAGCTCAAAAAACAAACGAATTCACAACAGAAGAAACATATGTAGAAGCTTGGAGTACGGGGGATGTTCCGGTGTTCGGAGGAATAAGTTTAAGCTCAGCTAAAACTAGTTCCGGGAACAAATTCCCCGAACCAAGTTCCGCGAACCGCGCTCGTGTGGACAAGGCCTAAATTTTTTTCTTCATTGATTACTCTGAGTCATGAATCGTTCCGCACGTTTATCTTAACACTTCCATGAAATGCTTGCACCTTATCTTTTCGAATGCGTCCGTTGTTTCAGACTTAAATATCCGCGACAATCGAGGCAACACGCCTTTGCACATAGCCGTGGAGCATCAATCATTGGAAGCAGTCGAATTTTTTATGCAATGGTGAGCTCTTGAATATCGTATCCATTACCTCATTTTATTTGACTGTTCAACTCATTCCTGATCATCGTTATGTTTCGATGATTCACAAATATGAAGAAAAGTACTGGAAGAGACAAAAACATTCAGAGTAACAAAAACAATTCCGATGGCTGGCAAAACTGCTCCTTGTTTAGCACTCAAATGTATTTTAAAATTGAGTTTAAAGGAAATAAGTAAACTCAAATTTCTGGATCGTTGTGACATAGTCATGAGCTTATGATGATTTGAAGAGATTATGAATCTACTTTGATATACTTACGGGAAAAAGTCAAGTCAATTAACTTGATAGGTATCTGATAAAATGATTTCAGAGACAATCTACAGAATGAAAAAAGTTTACGACTTGAAAAGAAATGAAGTGATGCTACTAGATATGATAACTTAATCCCCTGATAAGTTATAACTTACGAGGTTCAGTACTGCTATTTTTGGCAATATCCTTCAGCGTAACTTCTTCGATAGGTTCTGAGGAAACACAAGCTTAGAGGGTAGAATGTGTTGAAGAACAGCATTTTAAAAACTCACCAATTGCATAATTTTATGATCAATTTCACTACATCATCATTATTATATTACCAATAATTTAACTTTTTCCTGCTGTTACAAAGGTTTTTGCCATAATATTTAGCGGCACATTGATAATTATGGCAACCTTGATATATTGTCTCTTCATCTAGATTAATATAAAAAAAAACATTATTGGAACCATGATAGGCGCCTTTAATTACACAAAACTTGAATCGGGTGAAAACTCTAATGTTCTTACCCACTGTGGAACACTTTAAAAGGTTTCCTCTTCCAGCAATCTTATATAAAGTTTTTAAAATATTCTCCGGCACAATATTTAAAATGACTTTATGGTTTTCTTTTGGTCTATAGGTTGAACGTTTGCGGGGCGTAATTTTCTTTGAAGGGGTAATGTCTAATGGTAGGTTCATTTCCTCTTCGGAGGGAAGAACCTGGACTAGCCAATTCCCGAAAGTATTCTTGTTTACCGGTCTTAACGGTAAAAATGGTCTCTGAATAAAATCACCGGTCTCATTCTTCTCTTTTTTAGTCGCATAGAGCATTCTAATGTCTCGGTTGAGGAGAGTTATCAGTGTGGTCAAAGAAATCAGGCCTGTCGACAGAACGCCGCCGGTTTCGCTCTTTTGACGGATCCCCAACCTTTTTTTTTTTCAAATAGCAACCGTAACCCCTCTTGTGATAAATATATATTTAAGGAAGTAAAAAACTGAGAATTTTGACGCAAACACCAGGTCGATATCTTATTTTTTGCCTGATCTACGGCAAGTTAAAGGTCAAATTAGAATTATTTTCAAAAAATCATAACTCCCGTTCAATATACCACAGAAAAACAAATGAAACGGGAGAAGTTACAAGACTTTGATTACTTTAAAAGGTTGGATGCAACAGTAAGAGGAAAAAAATGTAAGGTGGGATTCAGACCCTCAAAAAGTCAAATTTTGCCCCCCCCCCCCCATTCCTCTCTAGGAGTACGTATTTAACGAAAGTTCAACAGAAAATTTGGGGTTCGAACTACTTACGGGACGGGTGAGAAAAATGAGGGCCTCTACGGTTGGACTTCATCCCCTCCCCGCCCCAACTCAAACTCGTCGAGAAACTACCTCTCGCTAAGGGCACACTTCCTAAAATATAATGATACGCCGAAAGATTTCGTTATAAATCTCTTGGAATTAACACTCACTAATTTTTAAAAGGGGAAAACAGCTTAGATCTTATGTTCCGTTGTGACTTAGTGCTCAGTAATTTGCCGCTAAACCTACGATTGATAGGTGTAAGCTACGCTACACGAATCTACATCCCTGTAATCAGCACTTCCGCAAGAAGTATCAGGAATCGTCGAAGATCAAGAAATTGTTTTATTAGCTGATTATGTCACGAATCCGCAGCAGTCCATTCGACAAGTAGCCGAACGGCACGACGGCGTTGCCAGGATGGGCACTCAACGTTTGCTCAAATTGCATAAATTTCACCCCTTCAAAATCAGGTTGATCCATGAACACAACGAAGATGATCCTGATAAGAGATAAACAATTTTCGAGGAGATGGAAGCAATAGTCGTAGCGGATCCACGTTTGGTTGAACGGATTCGTTTCAGCGACGAGTCCTCGTTTTTCCTGAATGGCATAGTTAACCGTCACAATTGCTGGTCTCTAGAAAATGCACATGTGAGTAGAGAAAGGCATACCCAGTGTCCCCAAAAGTTGAATGTCTGGTGTGGAATTTTTGGGGACCATATCATTGGGCCGTTCTTCATAAATGGAAATCTAGACGGCCCGCAGTATCTGACAATGCTGGAGGATGCAGTTGTACCAAAATTGATTGAACTCATTGAGAACTCAGCTGAAGATTTCGACCCATGGTTCCAGCAGGGTGGAGCACCTCCGCATTTTGCACTCCCAGTTCGTGGCTACCTAGACGCAGAAATTCTTGGGTGCTGGATTGGACGCCGCGGATCAGTTGAATGTCCGGCGCGTTCCGCAGACATATCCCCATTGGATTTTTCCTTTGGGGCCACCTCAAATCAAAATTTTTTGCAACCCTTACTCGGGATTTGAAGGAATCGAAACAGTGGGTCATTGAAGAGTGTCGACTTAAAACTCCACGGATGCTATACGACTTGTCCGTAAGGAATCCTTCGATCTATTTTCCGTTCCCGGGCTAAGAGTGGGGAACAGTTTGAGCAAGATTTTTAAAGCCTCTTGAGGTAATGTTATTATATCCTAGAGTTATTTTTCCGTTAAAAGCTGCATTATTTCGCATGTTCATTGTATGACATTTTTTGCGAAATACCTCGACGTAGCATTATATTTTAGGAAGTGTGCCCAAAGCGAGAGGTTGTTTCTCAACGAATTTGAGTTTGGGCAGGGAGGGGATGAAGTCCAACCGTAGAGGCCCTCATTTTTCTCACCCGTCCCGTAAGTAGTTCGAACCCCAAATTTTCTGTTGAACTTTCGTTAAATACGTACTCCTAGAGAGGAATGGGGGGGGGGGGCAAAATTTGACTTTTTGAGGGTCTGAATCCCACCTTACATTTTTTTCCTATTACTGTTGCATCCAACCTTTTAAAGTAATCAAAGTCTTGTAACTTCTCCCGTTTCATTTGTTTTTCTGCGGTAAATTGAACGGGAGTTATGATTTTTTGAAAATAATTCTAATTTGACCTTTGACTCGCCGTAAATTGGGCAAAAATTCAGAAATCGACCTGGTGTTCGCGTCAAACTTCTCAGTTTTTCAGTGATTTAAAAATATTTTTATCACAAGGGGGTCGCGGTTGTCATTTGAAAAAATCAGTTGGGGATCCCTCACCCCCCTGACGGGGCCGAAAATAAATTGCCCCCTCCCCGAAAGGTAAGCCACCCTTAAGATAGAAAAATTCCCGAAGTTTCGATTTTCTAACCGTTCAAAAGTTACCGGGGAAGGGGGGAGGGTACGGACTTTTGGGGACACCCTGTACGCCATCAATTTCCACGGAAAAATTACTATGCATTACAAAGTATTTTTCGAGGGGAATTCCAGCACAAACTTCATATCGTTCAATTGCCAATGACTACACAAAGTGGTTCAAATTGGTTTGCTAACAACCATTTTGGTTGTCCCAGACATTTCTGAAATGATCAATGCGTGAAATCCTTATGCGTGCTTGATCTTGCAGCAAAGTAGACACGAGCATCCTGAACAACAAGGACCAGGCGCCGCTCCACCTAGCAGTGGAGTTGAACAGGGTGGCCGTGCTGCAGGTCATGGCCAAGCACAAGCAGCTCGTCGACACGGCCCAAGGAGGCGAGCACGGCCGCACCGCCCTTCACATCGCCGCCATCTTGGATCACGACGAGTGTGCTCGCATCTTGGTCAGTCTTCGTTTTTTTTCTGCACAGTCTCAATTATATCCGTTTCTAACGTCATGTCGCGCTAGTCCAGAAAGGTTGCTGAAGAGAAGAATTATGGATCATGAAGCGTTTAACCCGAACATTTTCACAGCCTTTGTCCCCTCTTACACGTTTAGGTAGTCCGCATTCTAGAACTCCTCTTTTAAAATAAGTTAGAGGAGTCGATGCTTTATTGTTATTGGCCACATTCAGATAAATAATCCTGCTGCTATAACCGTCAATGCAATCATGGATGACAAATCTAAACATCACAAGTTTGTGAGTTGAATCCATGTGCCTAGAAAAATAAAAAAAATTGAATTGGTAAATAGTGAGATTGATATTGCTCTACATGTCTCCTGGGTCGATATCATGTCGCTTATCAAATTAAATTGAGTTGAGTGAAATATGAGCTAAAAAATTTGCTCTTATCGATAATTTTAAGAAAATTTCGCTGTTTACTCTAAAGTACATCCGTATCTAACGTCATGTTATGCTAGTCAAGACACAGCTAGCGAAACTTGGATTGATAACGCTGTAAATTTTCTCTGGGATCGATATCATGTCACATCAAATTAAATTGAGTTGAGTGAAACATGAGCTGAAAAAAATTTTCTCTTGTCGATAATTTTAAGAAAATTTCGAAGTTGACTCGTGCAATCGCATTGTTCGTTAATCTGGAGCATCACTTTCTCGAACACGTAACGCACTGAAACTCACACAATCTACCCTTTCCCGTGCCAACCCAAACGCTGTAGAAATGCAGCGCCATTCGGCGCTGGGCCTGAGAACTACACCCACCCGCTAACTCTCAAAGCTGTCGCTTCTGCATTCTGATCGCATGCTGTTCCCTGCGAAGTGATTATTGTAATTAATAGACAAATCTACACACTCAAAAAGAAAACTCCGGCTCCGGAATCCGTAATTACGGGCTATTTAACACTACCGTGCGTTACGGGTGAGGAGACCGTAAACCCGCATTCAGGAGCCAGAGCATCGGCCTCTGAGCCGGGAGCTCTTTTTGCTACGGGTTTAAAGGCCGTTGCTCCGGCTCCTGAATGGAGGACTCACGATCTCCTCACCTGAAACGCACGGTAGTGCCGTATAATCTGTAAGTACGGCTCCTGGAGCCGGAGTTTTTTTTTTCAGTATACAGGGTGTTTCAGACCACCCGTAGCAGGCATTTTTCTCGATTGGTTTAGGTCGTACGAAGTCGGAGACCGCGGGGTTGAAGAGGGAATTGACCCCAAGGAATCCGAATTTCGTGGTCCCGAAACCCCCCCACCCGCCCTTGGGGGGTAAAGGGGGGGTCACGATGCTAAAAGTCACGGTTCCCGACCGAATTGCGGATAGATCGCATCATAATAGAAAAGCACGGAAAAGTTCACGTGAAATCGACCCCTAAAAATCCAAAATCGGACCATCCAAGGCCCAAAAATGATCCCCTAAAGAGGAGGACAGTACCCCCCTCCATAATTTCTCTTTGGTCTCAAAATTGACGTGGATTCTCCAGAAAAAGACAGTTTCCCAGGTAATCGACCTCGAGAAATCCAAATTTCATGGTCCCGAAGCTCCTCTAGCTCCCCTTGGGGGGTAAACGGGGGGGCTCAATTTTAAAAATCGGGGCTCCTTTCCGAATCGCAAATTGATTGCATCCAAATTGAGGAGCAGAACACATTTACATCTTAAGTGACTCCTAAGAGTTCTAATGGACCCCCTGAACGGCAGAAAGTAATTCCCAGAGGAGGGGGGCTTCGCCCCTGCCAAAAACTTCTCAAGATTCTTCTTTGGTCGCAAAATTGACGTCGATTCTCCAGAAAAAGACGGTTTCCTATGTAATCGACCCCGAGGACTCTAAATTTCATGTTCCCTGAGCTCCTCGGGGTCGATTACATGGGAGACCGTCTTTTTCTGGAGAATCGACGTCAATTTTGCGACCAAAGAAGAATCTTGAGAAGTTTTTGGCGGGGGCGAAGCCTCCCTCCTCTGGGAATCACTTTCTGCCGTTCGGGGGGTCTATTAGAACTCTTAGGAGTCACTTAAGATGTAAATGTGTTCTGCTCCTCAATTTGGATGCAATCAATTTGGGATTCGGAAAGGAGTCCCGATTTTTAAAATTGGGCCCCCCCCGTTTACCCCCCAAGGGGAGCTAGAGGAGCTTCGGGACCATGAAATTTGGATTTCTCGAGGTCGATTACCTGGGAAACTGTCTTTTTCTGGAGAATCCACGTCAATTTTGAGACCAAAGAGAAATTATGGAGGGGGGTACTGTCCTCCTCTTTAGGGGATCATTTTTGGGCCTTGGATGGTCCGATTTTGGATTTTTAGGGGTCGATTTCACGTGAACTTTTCCGTGCTTTTCTATTATGATGCGATCTATCCGCAATTCGGTCGGGAACCGTGACTTTTAGCATCGTGACCCCCCCTTTACCCCCCAAGGGCGGGTGGGGGGGTTTCGGGACCACGAAATTCGGATTCCTTGGGGTCAATTCCCTCTTCAACCCCGCGGTCTCCGACTTCGTACGACCTAAACCAACCGAGAAAAATGCCTGCTACGGGTGGTCTGAAACACCCTGTATAGATGAAAAAGACAGGGAAAATGGAGCGATTCTGCTCGTTGAAACGAATCTCTGAAATGGATCGCGCTCATTTATGATAGATTAACTAACGGAAATCCACAAGAGATTCGACTGTCAGTCCATAATTTTTCCCTTTTGTCTTGAGCAATCACCCGTTTCAACTGACCGATTCGCTCTATTTTCCCGTAAGGTTCTTTTCGCTTATCGCCTTGCCTATAAATTCCAATGGTCAGCTCGCAAATCCCTAAATCAAGAATCTATGCATGACGTCGTGAAGGGTGCAATGGATTTACCAATTGGACGTATTTCTGTCAAACGGAACCAAGCGCCGATTTGAGTTCCTTTTGAAGAATTTAGAATGCCGGATAGCGCGTTCTGTCAAACGGAACTAAGCGCCATGAAAAAGCATTGCGGGTATAGGATGGAACGAGCCCGACGCCCGTTTCTGCCGTCAATCCAAGCCGCCCCCCCCCCTCTACCTTCTTCCCCCTATGGCGCTTAGTTCCGTTTAATAGAAATACGTCCAATTGCGGTGAGAAGTCGTGGAGACTCCGTGATCGAGGCCTCGAAAAAGAGTGATAAGCGCAGTGTGAAGACTGGAGCATTGAGGGGAGCTTGTTTCGAAAAGCCTTCTCCTGTTGCAGATGAGCGACTTCGGGGCGAGCCCGCGGAAGCCATGCAACAACGGCTACTACCCGATCCACGAGGCGGCCAAGAACGCGAGCTCGCGGACGATGGAGGTGTTCCTGCAGTGGGCCGAGAGCAGAGGCTGCACCCGGGAGGAGATGATCTCCTTCTACGACGCCGAGGGCAACGTCCCGCTCCACTCGGCCGTCCACAGCGGCGACTTCAAGGTAATGCTCCCGCACTGGAAAAAAAAGTAGCTTGAAACAAATCAAAATCAGCTTGAAGCAAGCTGGAAAAAATATTAAATTTGCCGCCAAGAAACGTATAGCTTGAAGTAAGCATGGCCGTGCTGCTTGAAATTAGCTACCCGGCGGAATCTTAATTATTTTTCGTTTAATGCTCGGATCCAATACTAAAAACTGAAAGTTTTATTCATTTTTCATAAAATCCCGTAACGTAGGGATAGAACGTTACTGATTCTTCGACATGGAGCATGTTGAAGTCGTCGTGCGTTGCCGCGGGTTTTGTTCTCGGTTTGCAGCACTATGTTAAAATGCGCGGCTTTTGGAGATCTCCTGAAATTACTTGAGCATGTAGGAATGTATAACTTAATACCCGTGTCGAAAACGAAGGCGGAGTGGTTACAATCCAATGGAAACTTAATTCAAGAAGTTGGCTGCAAATTTAACTTAAGTCTAATTTTTTCAGCTATTTCCAAGATTCGTGTCATGCTTGAAACCAGGAATCTTGAATCAAGAAACAACTTCTTAGAATTAGCAGCCATGGTGGCTTGATGTAAGACTCAGCAAGTTTGACTCAAGATTTTTGTGCTGCTTAAATCAAGGTAGCAGGTGATCCAAGCTATAAGGTAGTTGCAATTAAGAATCTCGAATCTTGAATTTAGCAATAAATTACTTGTTTTAAGATAAAAATTCTTGAATCAAGCTGATTTTTTCTCAAGATTCCGAGACGGCTTGACCGTAGTAGCCTTTTTTTTCCAGTGCGTATACAAGGGTCGTACGTTCTGTCGTTCCTTGAACTCTCAATGTATTTACTTTGTAAATATGTATTATAAACCTAAGCAATAGGACACAGGTGAACAGAATCGTCTCCGTTGAGCCTCCATGCCATATCCAAGAACATCTAGCAACGAAACAAGATCATGTGAAGTCCAAATTGCGCGTCTCAGGATAGGTCACACTTTTTTCACTTACAATCATATCATCTCCAAAGAAAATCAACCCATCTGTCACTTCTGTAATTCATCACCTCTAACCATCAAACACGTACCTACGGACTGCTCTGCCCTCCGATATCTCCGATCACAGATATACTCCCCTACAATCAACAGAAATACAAACCCACTTACATGCGATGAACCCAATATTACTACCAAAATTCTGAAACTCTTCACCTCTCTTAATTTAAAATTCTAAATTTTCGTATACTCCCATTTTCAAAATTCTCTGTAAAGACGTTAATAGCCTGTGACGCTGAATGTCTTAAAATTATACTAACTAACTAACTGGCCCGAGCTGCATGTAACTAGGTGGAGAAATAAGTTTCGTACCGATACGCATTAGAGTTCAGAAAATTTAATTTTTACTCTCGTTATAATTTTTGGAACCTCTTAGCTTTGTTTTCCGCGCAAAATGGTGTGAACCCAGCTCCATTTCTCCACCTTGTTATATGTATCATATATTTACCTCAAGAAAGAGGGCGGAGACAAAATCAAATTGCTTAAGTCCTCATCGTCAGTAATGCATGTCTAATTCACCACGTGAATCTCTCGTATTCCAGGGCCGTAGATATACTGTCGTTCCTGAAACTCTCGGTGTATTTACCTTGTGAACACAAAATGAGAATAACTAAAGTTTCACCACCTGAATCGCCCGTATTCCTGGGCCGTAGATACCGTCGTTCCTGAAACTCTCGGTGTATTTACCTTGTGAACACAAAATGAGAATAACTAAAGTTTCACCACGTGAATCTCCCGTATTCCAGGGCCGTAGATACTGTCGTTCCTGAAACTCTCGGTGTATTTACCTTGTAAACACAAAATGAGAATGACTTAAGTATGAAAATCCTCACCACGGCACGTCACTTCCTGGTGGCCACATCAGGGTATGTACGTCCTGACGCAGCTCGAGGAATGGACGTCTCGAGGCAAACTCCAAATGCTGCCAGGGGTTATAGGACATTTCGTCAACGACTTTTTGTCCGCGTAAAGTACGATCGTAGGAATTGAAGTAGTTTTTCAACGTTAACTGCTGGGTGCCATTGCCCGTTTTGTCGCAGTAGCCAAACTTTTTCTTTAACATGAAATTCATGGGCAAGTTTACAATTCTGATTGTAGTGATTTTCAACTATTTCTGAATGAATTTTGCGTTTTTCTTCAACACTAACTAATTTTGGTTGTAATTGTTCAGTACTGATAGGCACATAGGGTTTTAAGAGTCTCTTGCAGTAGACTTTTTGATTGTTTGACGGCTTATTCCGCCATTCCGTTGGATTGGGGATAATGTGGACTAGATGTTACGATTGTAAAATTGTAATTACCTGCGAAAGCTTCATGTTCTACTGAATTGAACAGTTGATTGTCTGCTACCAACTGTGCCGGAATTCCATGTGTGCGAAAAATACTTCTAAGTTCCTTTACTACATCACCAGCTATTTGCAGCAATTTATACACCCAGAAGTAGGCAGGTCCGTGACTTCATGAATATTTAGACAAAGCAAGTACTGTTGCCTGTAGATGTGTACATACTTCAACCATTTAACAAGTAACATATGCCAATTTATAGGAATATTCAGAAAATCAGCAACTCTTCTACCATACTCGAACTTTGTCGGTGAGCAAGAGGTTGTTTTACCACAGTTTAGTTCAATTGTGTAGGTATTTTGTTGTACTTTTGCTTCTTTAGCTTGTTGATAGCGCGTCGAGAGGCTCATGGATGAGATTGATGCCTTCGGCTCTCACGAGCTTGATAAATCTTAGGTTGTCTTCAAATTTGCACTTCAACGTTGACGACAACATTGATCTATTACCTGGGCTTAACATATAGTTAGGCATTTCACACTTTTGGCCACCTTCCTCTCTTTTTCTTTTATCTTGTAGCTCTTTTGTCTTCGTCCTTTCCGTCTTGTTGTTCTTTTCTATTTTTTTCTTTCTTTTTCTTACTATTTCATTCTTATGTGCTCTTTTTATTCTAATTTTATTTTATCTTTTTACATCTACCTCTTTAACATTTATCAAGAAGCCGGCCTGTAAAATGTTTTTGATTTTTTTAAACGGATCCAACAAATTGTAAAAAGATCATTTTCTTTGGTGTGCATAAATTATTGTACATACTATTTGTAATATACTGACTAAAGAAAAAAAAATATTAATATGAAAACTATTAAATATATGAATGGTTCCACCGGTTCAATTACCTTTGGAAATCGCAGCCATTTTACTGGCTTTTATCGATGCCTTAACATTTCCCGGGCGACCACCGCCCCCCACTGCTGTTTCAAGAAACTTATCGTAGACATCTCGTCGTTGTTGCCTGAAAAAATGAATATTTTACGTTAGGACACGAAAAAAAAAAAAAAAGGAAAATGATGAAGAATTGGTGTGAACAATCGTCTCCTGCAGTCATCCAGTCGTAGTGATAAATTTCACCATCGATTCTTACGTAACATTTCGCGGTAAAGTTTCCATCCTTCCACCCATTGGTGGTTCTGCGTGGATTAATATGATGGGTTCACGTGAACTCACAAGCCATGCGGGATTGAGGGTGACGCTAAAAGTGCAAAAACCCAACATTGCATTTTTAGCTTTGTACCTAATGCAACAGATGTACCTGATGCAACAAATGCCACTATAAATAATAGAAAACTCAAAATAACAGAAAGTGTTCATGAAATATGCAAAATAATCTGATGGATAATACTTAAGGACATGTACGATTGAAGGACTAATGGCAAACGCCTGTCCTATTCGAAGCACCGAAAATCTTCTTCAGAAGTAAAGATGAACTTTTGCTACTTCAGCGAGTCAAATCGTGGAAGAAGATCCACGGTTGTTACTTTCCTCCACCCGATGGGACTGACGCGACGTCCCAGTCAAATGCGTTTTTGAAGAAATGATAGATGCCCATCATTGCTTCATCTCCATAGATGTATTAATGTGCAAATGACGGCAGGCTCCGGTAACAAGGCTCTGTGCGCACGAAGGCTTCTGTCAAGCTAGATTGCAAGCTGGACTGAGTTCTTTTACACTACTAGAAAAATGTTTGTGCGTGAGCTAAAAACTTACAAACGGGTGCATTTGAGAGGTCCTCTCCTGGAAATTCTGCATCCTCTTCTGAAAATTTGACAGACTAGATTTTAAATTTTCTGAAATTAAAGAGTTTCTAAATGTGTGATTTAGGGTCGGACATGATCATGATCGCAAATTGGACTAAGTACTTTGCAAACACTTCAAGGCAAATTTTTGTGCGTGAGCCAAAAACTTACTATTTCTTCCGTTTGCGTCTTCAAATTCATACTCATTTATCTCATTCTGCTGAAAATTTGACAGCCGAGGTTTTACATTCTCTGAAAATAAAGAGTTTTAAATTGTGTGATTTAAGGTCGGACATATGCGAGGGCTGAAAAAAAAAATATTTTAAGATGTTCGTCTAAAATATTTTAAAAGTTCTTATTTTAAATTATTTTAAGAAGGCGCGTTTAGAATTCCTTCGAGTCTTTGGATTTTCTGTAAGCAGGCCTGTCCGACATTAGGCTCCAAAAATACGCAATAAATCCCCACGTAATCTATTCACCTGCTACTTTCAGAATACTAAATGGAGAACACGAGTCTTAGAGACTCATCACGTCTACTGCTACTGCTTGGTAAGTCTAGTGGTTCATTTAACGTATTTTCCAACTCCAACAGGTCACCAACGTACCGCAATTATTATTTTTTTTGGGGGGGGGCGGGGGGGGGATTATGTCTCCCGTCTTAACCGAGGGGACTTTTAACTTCGTGGGGAATTGACTGGTTGGTCTACGCGAGATTTACATATTGCACAGGTGTTTAATCCCAGGTTTTCATCCCTACGAAGTACTTCTCCTCAAGGCGCTCGGTTTTTTCCAGGCGGTGGAGCTGTGCTTGACCTCTGGCGCCAAGATCTCCACCCAGCAACACGACCTGTCAACTCCGGTGCATCTGGCGTGCGCGCAGGGAGCCCTAGAGATCGTCAAACTCATGTTCAGCCTCCAGCCGGACGAGAAAAGGACCTGCCTGAAGTCCTGCGACATCCAGAAGATGACCCCACTCCACTGCGCAGCAATGTTCAACAGAACCGAAATCGTGCAGTATCTGATATCTGAAGTAAGTCACGTAGCCGGACCAAGCAACTTCAGTTGGGATTTTATGCCATGGTGCCGTGGCCCATTCTGCCGTGCGAAGGAAATTGGCCGGAGAAACATTAAAAAGTTGGCAAAGTTTCTAGAAAAGTTATGAATATTGTAACTTTAAGTTTTCGGATACTTCAGGAGTTCCGGAACCTCCCGAATCCGATTATGCGATAAATGGGAAGGCTGTTAAAATTGGGTATGACAGCTCGCAATAGTGTTATTATCGCGGTGAATTAGCGTGTTTTTTGCAGAATCTCCGTGAATTTACATGTTTTTTTTTTTTCTGAAAATATGAGGCATACAAAGATTTTAGCTTTGAATATTGTAAAACTAAGGAAAGCTCTGTATTGCTGGGATACCTTAGATTAAATTTAGAAGAAAATTCTCTTGAACACTGGAAGATAGTAAGTAGTTTTCCAGAAAATTCTAGGTTCTTCAAAGACAGATCACCCGGAGGATGTCGCGGCGATTTTCCTCGGCACGTCAGCGTTGCTGTGTGTGAGTAACATGGGCAAACTGCAATTTCGTTTGGTTTGGCAACGTCGGTATACTCATCTCTAGAAAAAAGTATTTTATGCCGCGTTTTCCAATCCGTGCAAAATTGTTATCGTATGCTAAAATGCGACCGTAAGTAATACTTTTTTGTCTTAGTACACTTGTAATTCTTTGAATAGTAGATAGTCGCAATAAAACATGCATTGCTGCGAATTGGAATACGGGGTAAAGATAAGAAAAAAGAAAAATCTCAGTATACAGCTGACAGAAACTTCGTCGAAGAATGAACAACTGGTGATGATTTCGTAACTATTTGCACTTTTTCAGCACAGTAGCTACACATTTTCAAAACCATTAAACCAACGTGTCTCTACGATTTGACGAAAATTCTTCTCCGTATCTTTTGGAAGGTCCTATATAGCATTGTGTGGTTTAACTTTAGGACCTACGTTCATGAAAAGAAAGTCTTGTGTGCTTGCTACACGCTCAAATTCCCATTAATTAATTTCCGATCAAATTGTGACTGGTGCGCACCATCTACCATCAAATTTGTGCGGCCTGCAAAAATTTGATGGAAGATGATGGAACTGTGGGGCTCATCCTTCATCTGATTTCTACACAACCGTGCTTATTTTATGCTTATTTCAATCAACATGCTGCTTTAATTAATTTTACTCACCAATCTAGATAACTCTCGACCGCCATCTTGGTCATCATTTTGATCGGAATTTGACGGAAATTTGAGCGTGTAACCAGGCCATTATTTCGATCTAAAAAATCGCCAACTAGAATCCGACTGGCTAAAATAGAGACACCCTGTGCAATGTATATCAGTTGCTTAGATTTTGCATCGAGTTTTTTTTTTTTCGTGCGTAGGGGGCTGACATTAACGCCCTGGACAAAGAGAAAAGATCGCCTCTTCTGTTAGCTGCATCGAGGGGCGGGTGGAGGACGGTGCTGTTGCTGATAAAACTAGGAGCAGATATCCACCTGAAAGATTCCAACCAGAGGAACGTTCTGCACCTGGTAGTCATGAACGGCGGGCACCTCGAAGAATTCGCACGTCAAGTTTGCACGGTGAGACTTCAATGCCAACAAGTCCCATGCAAATTGTTTGCTTAGAATTTCACAGAAGAACAACGCGGAACAAGTGAAGTGGGCGTGGTCAGGAGATTTCTCTAGAACATCGATCGAGGACCAGATGTTCTTGTTGGTGCAAAGTTTTGGTTTTTTCGTAGACACTTGCCAATTATGCAATAATGGAGACGGACCTTATTTGGGTGATTTTTGCATCGTATCTTCTTATAGTTACATATCCTAAAAGAGTCGAATTCAATGCCACGGATGCATATACAAACAACTGTGTTGTTGCTTATAATTATCCTAACTAATGAGATTAACGAATATGGCAACTTTTACCATAATTATCATAAGTAATCCGACTATAAGAAATGGGTGTATATTATTCTGAAAATTATACTAAGAAGAAATTTTAGTCATATACGTGGGGGTGGTACTCCGCCGACGCTTTGGTTCTCCGGGTGCTGTAGTACTTCGTACTATTGTGAGACAGGTCGGAGGTCACTGCGCGTTCACTGTTGACGGCTGAACTCATAACCAGGACTCGGTTTGAGCAATGCCGAGACATCGTAATAGTTCATACTTTATGGCAGGAAGCGCTTATGCATCTGCATTACCGTATGAATCCACAATGAGATGTTGCATGTGTGAGGAATTTGCGATTTGACTGTTGATTATAATGTAAAAGTTCGTGAGAAACACGATGGTGCCACTGCTTTTCTCTGAAATCAACTCCCAAGCTCAAAAAAAGCTCTCAAGTTGAGGCCTAAATGGAGGGGATATCCCACCCTACCCTGAGAGTCCACATCTACATCAAGACAAACTCTCCATGCACAGATAGGGAGCAAATACATTGACAGGGCTGCCACTTTATTTGGGGACTCCAAAACTGAAAACACGGAAACCCTGCTAACGTATTTGCTCCCTATCTTTGAATGGAGAGTGCGTTTCGATGAAGAGGTGGACTCTCAGGGTAGGGTGGGATATCCCCTACATTTTGGCCTCAACTTGAGAGCTTTTTTTGAGCTCGGGAGTTTATTTCAGAGAAAACTAGTAGCACCACCGTGTTTCTCGCGAACTTTTACATTTGTATCAACAGTCAAATGGCAAATTCCTCACACACGCCACAACATCTCCACTTTGTCCACTTGAGTCGACCTCTAAAGAACGATTACATTTACATGTCTGCTTCAGGCCCGTAAGTGTGAATTATTACGTACGATGTCTCTAGGGCAAAGCCATGAGGTGACTCGGTGGTGGAAACCTCCTTGTGTATTACACCAAGAGTAGAGTTGTGGGTCCAGACTCCCCACAGCGCTTCTCAGCTCTCCGTTTCTCCTCTCCTCTCTTCTCTTCCTTCAGCTCTAAAACGTAGTGGACGGGTTTTTAGTTAAATGATGCTCGCATGGTTTTCTCCACTTTTTGATTTGGAGTGAATATGTCTTTTCAATACAGGTGCAGGCCCCGGAGAGTCTGCAGCAACTCCTTAACGAAAAGGATCATATCGGTTGCTCACCTCTGCACTACGCCAGCCGAGGAGGGCACATCAGAAGTCTCGAGAACCTAATACATCTAGGAGCCTGCGTCAATTTGAAAAATAATAATAATGAAAGTCCCTTGCATTTCGCCGCAAGGTATTTCGTTTTTTTCTTCTAATACATGTATCGAATTCGTTACTATTTGTGCCGCAAATTCTATAACTGAAGTACCCAAAGCCGCCATTAAATTGCGTTGATGATTTACTTGTATTCAATTGTACGAATTAATATTTAATTTAAACATTATGTTACCAGTGCATCTGCACACAGTAAAGCAGGTTGATCTATTGCATTTATAGTGGTCGTCCTTGTCGCTGAGCTGCTTGGAGGAGCTCGAAGATCGATTTTATCGGCGGTTAGGCTACTGTCTGAGGACTCAGCAGATCTCTCGAGACGATCATTAAATGAATGTTCAGGTTCTTTAACTGCTCATTGTCAATATTTTTTGAACGACTAGTTAAGCTCATTATTTTTGAGCTCAATCACTTCAAATTATTTTTGGTCAGATGAAACCCTGGAAAAAAAACACCTTGGATCTAGAGTCCAGATTCTTGAAAACATTGACAAGAAAAAATACTCTTGATTCAATCGGATTTTTGCTTGAATCAAAACGAAATCCGCTTGAATTAAGAGGCTTGGTTCTTGATTTAAGCTAGATTCTGATTGAATCAAGAGTACTTTTTCTTGTCGATGTTTTTAAGAGTCTGGACTCTAGATCCAATGTG